TCTGAGAAAACTGAAATATGAGACTGGAGGTAGTGGTGAGACAATCTGAATAGTCACAGAACCACCAAGGTTGGAAGAGACCTTCAGGATCATCCAGTCCCACCCTCACCCAGCACCACCACAATCACCCCTAATCCAGGTCCCCAAGGGACACATCCAGACACCTCTGGGACACTCCCAGACACAGGGACTCCACCACCTCCCTGGGACACTTATTCCAAGGCCTGATCACTCCTGCAGGGAAAACATTTTCTAATCTCTGATCTGAACCTGCCCTGGTGCAATTTAAGGCCATTTCCTCTCCTCCTTTCACTTGAGACATGGCAGAAAAGCCCAATCCACCCCCCCACTCAAACCTCTTTTCAGGAGTTCTTCTTTTGAAAAAAAAACCTTTTCAAATACTTGATTTTGTTACCAGGCAGTTTCTGTGTCATTTGTGAGTGCAAATGATAAAGCATTTCTGCCTCACAAACAGAAGAGTTGATTGGTGATTTTGTGTAAATACATTTTGTTCCATAATGCACTTTTTTCGTGGGCCCTTGAGTCTGAGTCACTAAAATGCTTAATGCAGAGTCTGCAGCTTTCAAACAACTGAGATGAATGGGGGGTTTTGTATCTCTCCCTCTGTTCATCAATTGAACTGTTTCCTGGGGAGAAAGTTTTGGAAGGATTTGGTTTTGTTCTGCCAGTTCCCTTTCGGAGGGGTTGCCAAAGTAAACCTTGGTGGTGTGCTCTGCAGTTTATGGATCAACTGAATTCTCAGCCTTCTGCTAAAAGCAGCTGATAGAATTACCCAGCCTGGAAATCATGATTCTGGGGAGTGTAATTAAATAGTAAATGTTTCAGTGAATTGGATGGATTTTGTCTCTGGAGCTCATAAAACTGTTATTGGGAATATTGCCTTTTCTGGGTTCTGCTGCTGTTGTCATTCAGTGTAAATGTAGCTTAGAAAAAAAAAATTCCTATTGTAGTTTTTTTTCCTCTTAATCCAAATTATTGCTGCATTATAGTCAGAAAGAACACTCAGCAAACTTCTGTATCATGTGAAGATATGATTTCCTTGAATTTATGTGGCCTTCATGAGCTTGGCTTAAAAGATCTTGGAAACAGAATTCAGGACTGTTTAATGAACATAAACCTTAATTATGATTTTTCACATGAATACATACAACAGAAATATAAAATTGTTGTGTGGACACCTCTCCAGCATTCCTGTACCAGTGGAACATTAACTTGCCTTTTCCTGTCATCATTTCAGGGAATGGGAATCAAAAGGAGCATTTGCTGGAAATGTTGCAGCTGTTGAAATACCGAGGGAAGTTTTGTGGAGCAGAGCCCCGAGCCAACATTTAATCTGTGAAATGCTGTTTCTAGGCCTGTGTTTGAAGTAGCAAACTCATGATAAACTGGTTCTTTGGGGATGCTTTGTTATCCTTTTCCTGTAAATGATGGATGGTTTGAAGGTCACTGTAAACTTTGCAGGGTCAACTCACAGATGAGGCAACAAATCAGAACTGGAAACTGGAAGTTCACAGCAGTTGAATCACAGAGATCATAAAATCAGAGATGCTACATCAGTTTGGGGCTTCTTTTAATTACTGACAGGCTGGGAAGGGATCACAGTGCATTCTGTGTGTGTGTAATGTGGCATCACACACCTGTTAAGTCATCTCGGATGCTTTTCTGTTTCTTTTTGCCACAAACTGAATAATGATGAAGCTGGGGAATAAATAATTTCAGGGTGTCTTGGGAAAGACCTTTAAAATGCCTGTATTTTAGTTCCATACATCTGGAAGT